AATCACTGCTTCTCCCACGCTGTTGGACAGACAAAGGACGTCCCGGAGGGGCTGCGAGCCGAGCTGCTGCTAACGTTAGCTCAGCTTGTTTCTCTGATAACTTAAGATCCAGACGTCCGATGACTAAAATCCTTCATCCGGTTCAAATCTAGAGTTAAAAAGCACCAAGATCTAAACAGTGGATGGTAACAATGTGGCTTCAGACTGGATAAACAGTCAGTTTAATGATTATTGATTATTGATTTCAATAAGAACAGATCAGCAGATGACTGAATGATTATCTGATTGATCTGTCAACAGAATGTGTGTTTCTGCAGGCTGAATTGGAAATGTAAAACTTTCTAATAATAGTAACTTTAATCTATAATTGAATGTGTGTGTGTGTGTGTGTGTGTGTGTGTGTGTGTGTGTGTGTGTGTGTGTGTGTGTGTGTGTGTGGAGCACAGGTGAGTTCATCGTTCTGTGAAATTAGACAGAAATCACTCTGATGTGAATGTTAGAATAAAGTGATATTGTTCTGCTCATGTGGCAGCTGCTACACAACGATAGTGATGATGATGATGATGATGATGATGATGATGATGATGATGATGATGATGATGATGATGGTGATGATGTTGATGATGATCATGATGATGGTGATGATGATGATGGTGATGATGATGATGATCATGATGATGGTGATGATGATGGTGGAAGAGGAGAAGACATTCTGGCACTCAGTTGGTTTTTAGCCCAACAGGTTAATATTTCATTGGTTTCCATCTGCAGCAGATCTGAACAGTTCCACCAAATGTTCTCATACATGATTCATAGAGTCATTGCAGAGAACTCAGCTCAGACAGACAGTGAATGCGTCGCACTGACAGTCAGACAGTGAACGCATCAGAGAACCAGCTTCATCACAGTTCTGAAACTGAAAAGTTCCATTCAAGATTTTTGGAACCATCTGAATGGTGGATGGACTGAACCTGTACAGTTCCTTTCTAGTCTTCACACCACTCAAAGTGCTTTTTACATCAGTTCACTCACAGTCACACAGCAACGCAGCACCAGGAGCAGTTTGTGGTTTAGTATCTTCAAAGTGCAGCAGGAGGAGCCGGGAATCGAACCACCAACCTTCTGTGGACGACCCGCTCTGCCTCCTCCACTGGTGGAACCATTGTGATCAATTATGTATATCTTCCACCTTAGAATATGACTCTCCCACTTTGGTTCCTGAGGAAACCGATTTATTTTTGGTTGAAATGTCCAGAACGAGGTTCCCTGTCAGTTCATCAGCTAACATTAGCCGAGCTAGCATAGCTTCTAGTTTCTCACATCAATATTTTGGTCGTAACTTTGATGTTACGGTCGACATTCGTAACATTGATGTGAGACATTAGTAGCTATGCTAGCTTGGATAATGACTTGACCAATAGCTAGCTAGCCGGCTATCATAGGTGGCTGTGGCCCAGAGGTACAACAGGTCTGAACCCTCTGCTGTGCATCGGTGAGTGTGTGTGAATGATTAGTTTCAGTTCTGTAATGAGTGTGTGTGAATGTGTGAGTGTGGCTGTAGTGTACAGCGCATTGAGTGGTACATTTACATAGTAGCAATAGCTAAGGTTGGAGACGTGTACTGTGACAGCTGTTCTTTAGCACCTTGTGTGTGTTGGGTTTGATCAGTGTGTTTGAGCTTATCGAACAGTGACTTTATGTTGGTTATTTTTAGAGCCTCCTCTCTGCTGTCTGTCTGGGTATCGTCACTCCTCCTGTTTCCCTCACGAACATTTTGTATTTCTCTGCAGCTTCATGTTTCCTCCCCCGACTGTGAACACGTCGGACTCCGCACTTTGCTTATCAGCTCGCACTGTGTGTTCAGTTAAACACACAGACTCTTTGATATCTTAAAGGTCCTTTACAGCGACTTTAAAGGCTGTTGTTTTTCCTGTTTCAGTCCATTCTCTGTGGATCCTGTTTACACTACAGTCCTGCTGAGTCCAGTCCACTTTATTTGTTCAGTCCAGTGTTTCACATTGTGTCTCAGCAGCAGTTCCTGACCGACCCAAACTCTGTAAAGGACCAAAGGAGCTGAAAAATCCACCATCAGTGTTATAACTTTATTACTGAGGCAGAGATGAGCGCTAATACCTCCACACAAGCAGTTCACCAGGAATCTGTGAAGACATTGTGCAAGCATCAGTCAAGAACCTGTACAGGTTCTTTGTAGTTTTGTGTCTCAACCTGGTGCTGCTGTTGGTGGTTTCAGTCTGGAGGTGAAGAGAGTCGGTCTGACTGTATCTGACTGTGTCTGACTGTGTCTGACTCTATCTGACTGTGTCTGACTCTATCTGACTGTGTCTGACTGTGTCTGACTTTATCTGACTGTCTGACTGTGTCTGACTTTATCTGACCGTCTGACTGTGTCTGACTCTATCTGACTGTGTCTGACTGTGTCTGACTGTGTCTGACTCTATCTGACCGTCTGACTGTCTGACTGTGTCTGACTTTATCTGACCGTCTGACTGTGTCTGACTCTATCTGACTGTGTCTGACTGTGTCTGACTCTATCTGACCGTCTGACTGTGTCTGACTGTGTCTGACTGTGTCTGACTTTATCTGACCGTCTGACTGTGTCTGACTCTATCTGACTGTGTCTGACTGTGTCTGACTCTATCTGACCGTCTGACTGTCTGACTGTGTCTGACTTTATCTGACCGTCTGACTGTGTCTGACTCTATCTGACTGTGTCTGACTGTGTCTGACTCTATCTGACCGTCTGACTGTGTCTGACTGTGTCTGACTGTGTCTGACTTTATCTGACCGTCTGACTGTGTCTGACTCTATCTGACTGTGTCTGACTGTGTCTGACTCTATCTGACCGTCTGACTGTCTGACTGTGTCTGACTTTATCTGACCGTCTGACTGTGTCTGACTCTATCTGACTGTGTCTGACTGTGTCTGACTCTATCTGACCGTCTGACTGTGTCTGACTGTGTCTGACTTTATCTGATCGTCTGACTGTGCCTGAATCTATCTGACTGTGTCTGACTTTATCTGACCGTCTGACTGTGTCTGACTGTGTCTGACTGTGTCTGCCTTTATCTGACCGTCTGACTGTGTCTGACTGTGTCTGACTTTATCTGACCGTCTGACTGTGTCTGACTCTATCTGACTGTCTGACTGTGTCTGACTTTATCTGACCGTCTGACTGTGTCTGACTGTGTCTGACTGTGTCTGACTTTATCTGACCGTCTGACTGTGTCTGACTGTGTCTGACTCTATCTGACCGTCTGACTGTGTCTGACTGTGTCTGACTTTATCTGACCGTCTGACTGTGTCTGACTATGTCTGACTTTATCTGACTGTATCTGACTTTATCTGACCGTCTGACTGTATCTGACTGTGTCTGACTTTATCTGACTGTGTCTGACTTTATCTGACCATCTGACTGTATCTGACTTTATCTGACCGTCTGACTGTGTCTGACTGTATCTGACTTTATCTGACCGTCTGACTGTATCTGACTTTATCTGACCGTCTGACTGTGTCTGACTGTATCTGACTTTATCTGACTTTGTCCGACTGTATCTAACTGTCTGACTGTTTGACTGTCTGACAGTATCTGACTGTGTCTGACTTTATCTGACTTTATCTGACTGTGTCTGACTTCATCTGACTTTATCTGACTGTATCTGACTTTATCTGACTTTGTCCGACTGTATCTAACTGTCTGACTGTCTGACTGTATCTGACTTTATCTGACCGTCTGACTGTATCTGACTGTGTCTGACTCTATCTGACCGTCTGACTGTGTCTGACTTTATCTGACTTTATCTGACTGTATCTGACTTTATCTGACTTTGTCCGACTGTATCTAACTGTCTGACTGTCTGACTGTATCTGACTTTATCTGACCGTCTGACTGTATCTGACTGTGTCTGACTCTATCTGACCGTCTGACTGTGTCTGACTTTATCTGACCGTCTGACTGTGTCTGACTGTATCTGACTTTATCTGACTTTGTCCGACTGTATCTAACTGTCTGACTGTCTGACTGTCTGACTGTCTGACTGTTTGACTGTCTGACTGTCGGGCAGTGATGAACACAGCTGACTGTGATGTAACTGTAAAGAAAGGCCCATCGCTGCTGATCACTCACTGAATATTGATCCACTGATTGATTTCTGTGCTTTTAAAAGAGATGTAAAGGGGCGCCTGATTAGCTCAGTCAGTAGAGCTTGGGACCCATATACCGATTTGCTGCAGCGGCCCAGGGTTCAAATCCAGCCTGCGTCCCTTTGCTGCGTGTCATCCACTCTCTCTCTACCCACCTTTCCTGTCACTGTCCAATAAAGGCATGAAAAGGCCAAAAAAAAATACCTTACAGAGACATAAAGTCACCCCTGCAGCTGCTTTTGTCTGCTCGGCTGTTGTTTGACTTGAGGGTTCTGGGTTCAGGGTTCTGGGTTCAAGCTTCAGGCAGTGGGAGCAGAAACTGTTTTGTTTTTATTTTTCTTCTTCTCTTTGTCCTCACTGATTAATTTTTCTGAGCCAGAAAATCTTTCTGAGAATTTCCCTCCTCCCTGTGTGTATGTGTGTGTGCGTGTGAGTGTGTGTGTGCGTGTGAGTGTGTGTGTGCATGTGAGTGTGTGTGTCAGTGTGTGTGTGTGTGTGTGTGTGTGTGTGTGTGTGTTTAAGTTCAACTGGCTCTAAAATGCTTTTTAAAGTAACAGTGAGTCCTGTGTCAGATTTAAATCTGTATCTGTGCACAAAAACATAAAAACAAACTCACAAAGAGGCTGTATGTTCTGTAGTTCTGTGGTTCTGTAGTTCTGTATGTTCTGTATGTTCTCGTTCTCCATCTGGTAACTGATCTTCTGTTAACTTTTAGTGTCTTTGTGAATAACGGGGAACAACAGTTTGAGAGAGGGAGGATTATCAGTAATCAGTGAGGAAAGTCGACCATCTTGTTCCAGGTGTTGCCATGGTTACAATGACCCCCCCCCTGTCTGCAGCTTCCCTGATGTCCCACCGGTTTGTGACGGTGCGTCGTGGCAGCCCGGCAGATCGCAGTGGGCAGATTCAGCCCGGAGACCAGCTGGAGGCGGTGGAGGGTCGGCCGGTCGGAGGTCTGCAGCACCGGGACCTGGCCCAGATCCTGAGGAGGGCCGGTAACACGCTGAGACTGAGCATCACGCCGAGACACCGTACGGACGCACAAGCCAACAACACGCTAACGACACGCTACCACAACATTTAAAAAAAGTGTCTTTACTCAGTGCACTTTATTCTCCTCCTCTCCTCAGACTCCTCCCTGTCAGAAGGAGCAGATTTGGATATTGACAGTCGGTTGATGAAAGGATCCAGAGGGAGGTCAAAGGTCAGTCTGACTCCTCACAGTCCTAAAGAAGCACTAATACTACTTGAATGTGTACTTATACTTCTGTCTGTCTGTGTGTCTGTCTGTGTGTCTGTCTGTGTGTCTGTCTGTCTGTCTGTCTGTCTGTCTGTCTGTTTCAGGGCGAGTCCAGGTTCTACAGTGTGGATCTGGAACGAGGTCCTACAGGTTTTGGGTTCTCTCTGAGGGGGGGCAGCGAGTACAACATGGGACTATATGTACTGGGACTGATGGAGGGGGGCCGGCCCAACGCAGCAACAAGATCCAGGTACACACACACACACACACACACACACACACACACACAATGAACCCTGCAGCCTGCGGGGGGCGCTGATCTGCAGCTCCATCATCATCGTTAACACGCGCAGTATTTATCAAGCTAACGTTATCCAGCTAACAGCACAATCAGACAATATGTTCCACTAGCTTAGCATTAATATTACCTTTGACTTTGGACTCTGTGTTGGACTCTGTGTTGTGGACTCTGTGTTGGATTCTGTGTTGGATTCTGTGTTGTGGACTCTGTGTTGGATTCTGTGTTGGACTCTGTGTTGGACTCTGTGTTGATCTGTGTTGTTGGACTCTGTGTTTGGTGGACTCTGTGTTGGACTCTGTGTTGGACTCTGTGTTGGACTCTGTGTTGTAGACTCTGTGTTGTGGACTCTGTGTTGGACTCTGTGTTGGACTCTGTGTTGGACTCTTGTTGGACTCTGTTTGTGGACTCTGTGTTGGACTCTGTGTTGGACTCTGTGTTGGACTCAGTGTTGCCCACTGTTGGTACTCGGGAGCATAAAGGTCACAACCTTTGACCCTCATCCTACATAGAGACACATAGAGATCAGTCCACAGGCAGCAGAGGAACAAAGCTAAACTACAACCCGTTCACTCTCTGCTTACACACACATAAACCTTTATGATGTTACATGATTTGATTTATTGATGAGTTTCTGACTGTGAGGCTCTGAGCATCAAACATTCAACATCACAGCTGCTTACAGCTCTCTGAGCTTTCAATGTTCCCTGACCGACAAAGCAAAGAGCTGTCAGCGCCCCCCGCAGGCTGCAGGGGGTCTTTACTAAAGGTTCACGGTCTGGAGATCAGGATGAGATCAGGACAGTTCACACGCAGTGGCGGTTCTATCTTGAATGACACCCTGGACGAGACCCCCTTCGAGCACACAATTGTTATGTTTTATTTAGTGCTGTCAGTTAAACGCGTTATTAACGGCGTTAACACAAACACATTTTAACGGCTTCAATTTTTTTATCACGAGATTAATGTTCTTTTTGGCCTAGCACACTTTGTAGTTTTTTCCACGTGCTGTTGCAACAACTAGTAACGTTAGAAAAACTAAAACGCCACACCGGATCTAGCTAGACCGGAAACAGAACAACAGGCACGCCGCACACACTTGTTTAAGAGTAGTAGACGTTACGTTTTGAGTGGATGGCGAGCGCGAGACGTCGAAATGGATGCCAATAATATTCTGAATGGAAAGTTTACTTTTAAAAAGTTGCCAAATGGTTCCATTGACAAGACCAAAGTGATCAGTGTGTTTTGTCGTTGTGAACTGAGCTATCATCGCAGCACGTCCAGTCTGAAATACCACCCTAACCCTAACCTCCCCCTTCCCCTTCTCACACAGCTTCTGTGCACAGCACCTTCTTAGCCAGCAGGGGCGCTTGCAGCTGTAGGGGGCGCCAATTTGCCAATTCCCCACACAGTGATATGATAGAACAGATAGATAATCGAAACCACCTCGCGGCACAGAGGATTTTTTTTTTAAGTGCTTCTTAGTGTTTTTATCTGGATAGATAAAGGGTAAAAAAATACAGCACCTTCTGTTTCAGACGTATAGGCTTTGCCTAGGCTTTTCCTATAGGCCTACATATGAGTATGAGCATTTTCAGAATTTCAGTCCAACAACCAACGTTCTCTGTCGCTGAGGTGTTGTGGCGATTCAACACATGGCTCATTTGAATATTAAAATGAGCCACGTGTTGATAGGCCACCAAATTACTTATTTAGACTCGAATGATGACCAGCCAAATCCGCCACAGACTAAGTGCGCACGCTTTACCGCCATACAAAGCAAAACCATAGAAACAGTCATTTTTTTCTTGATCTGGGTACAAAAAGAACCGATTGCAGGTATCGTTTGACAGGCACAGTTTCGATACTACTTGGTACCGGGTACCGATACCCAGCCCTAGTGATGATGGATAAAGGGTTACCTGCTCTCTCAGGTGTGTGTGTGTGTGTGTGTGTGTGTGTGTGTGTGTGTGTGTGTGTGTGTGTGATAGTGGATAAAGGGTTACCTGTCTCTCGTGTTGTGTGTGTGTGTGTGTGTGTGTGTGTGTGTGTGTGTGTGATAGTGGATAAAGGGTTACCTGCTCTCTCAGGTGTGTGTGTGTGTGTGTGTGTGTGTGTGTGTGTGTGTGTGTGTGTGTGTGTGTGTGATGGTGGATAAAGGGTTACCTGCTCTCTCAGGTGTGTGTGTGTGTGTGTGTAGTGAAAGGTGGTGTGTGTGTGTGTGTGTGTGTGTGATGGTGGATAAAGGGTTACCTGCTCTCTCAGGTGTGTGTGTGTGTGTGTGTGTGTGTGTGTGTGATGGTGGATAAAGGGTTACCTGCTCTCTCAGGTGTCGGACCAGCTGGTGGAGATCAACGGGGACAGTACATCAGGGATGACTCACAGTCAGGCTGTGGAGCAGATCAGGAGAGGAGGACATCGAATCCACCTCGTCCTCAAGAAAGGAAACGGATACGTACCCGACTACGGTGAGACGTCGTACTGTTACCGTACAGACACTGCAGTAGTGCTGTAGTGGTATCACACTGTATCACACTGTATCACACTGTGTCACACTGTGTCACACTGTTCACTGTATCACACTGTATCACACTTATCACACTGTATCACACTGTGTCACACTGTGTCACACTGTATCACACTGTGTCACACTGTATCACACTGTATCACACTGTATCACACTGTATCACACTGTATCACACTGTATCACACTGTATCACACTGTGTCACACTGTATCACACTGTGTCACACTGTATCACACTGTATCACACTGTGTCACACTGTATCACACTGTGTCACACTGTATCACACTGTGTCACACTGTGTCACACTGTATCACACTGTATCACACTGTGTCACACTGTATCACACTGTATCACACTGTAGTACACTGTATCACACTGTGTCACACTGTATCACACTGTGTCACACTGTATCACACTGTGTCACACTGTATACCTGTATACACTTGTACACTGTATCACATGTGTCACACTGTATCACACTGTGTCACACTGTGTCACACTGTATCACACTGTGTCACACTGTGTCACACTGTGTCACACTGTATCACACTGTATCACACTGTAGTACTACAGTGTGATACAGTGTGATACAGTGTGATACAGTGTGATACCACCACAGTGTTTACCTCTGTAAAAGTAACAATATCACTGCGTCATTATGGAGATTGTTTTTCAATCTTTTGCACAATAATAATTAATAAATAATCATTTGTAAACTATCATGTGCAACAATAAAAGATCATTCCTAAGCTCCGACCCCCTTTTGCTTCGTGTTCCAATCACAGTTGAGCAAGCCTCGGTCAACTTCCTCCTTTCCTGTACTAAGATATGCTATGCTAGGCTAATCTACGTTGGAAAGACAACCACATTTTATTGGTTCAAAGATAAAAGAGACTTATATAGTCACATCTTAAGTTAGCTAATGTTAGCTTAATGGTTCTCAACCTTTTGCAAGCTGGGCCCCCCCAAAGCTGGTTCATTGCAGTTGGGGCCCCTCCTCCTCCTCCTCCTCCTCCTCCTCCTCCTCCTATTATTATTGTTATTACTATTATTATGAGTAGTAGTAGGCCTATTATCATTACTAGGCTATTGCTATAATTGGGAATTGGCACCAGACCTCTGATATGAGGGGGGGGTTACCGGTTGAGAACCACTGGCTTAATGCAAGCTAACTAATCTACATCAATTGTTAGCTAGCTAGTTACAGCTGAAAGCTGACCGAGGTTCTGAGGCTCAACTGTGATTGGAGCACAGAGCCAAAAGGGGCGGGGCAAAATTGAGTCAAAATACTTGAGTGACTCGTCTCTGAAATCGTCCAATCACAGCTCTGGGATTCTCTTGATTTCAGCCTTCTTCCTGTTTGACTTTGTATTTTCTCTTCTCGCTTCCTCCTGTACTTGATGCTCTGCTCTTCGTCCTCTTCCTCTTCCTCAGTGGAGTTGTCCAGCTTGTCTCTCTGTATGACCAACTCTAAACAGGGGGAACCCTGCTTCTACGTGATTGGACGCACTGAAAACTCGCGGTTGGTGACTCTCTGAACTCGTTTCCTTCTTTACTTTCACTTCCAGCGACTGTCATCCTCCATCTTCACGTGTCCATCAACCAGCTGCAGTCGTTACATAAATCACGTCCTAACATTTATAACAAGCTCTTACATGTTATAAATGTTTTACATCATGTTGATTATAGTGTAGATGTGTTCATATGTATGGTAGGTATCAATAATACGGTATGAGCGTATGATTAACATGTTCAAATATAGATTACATGTTATTAATATATTGTCATTAAGTTGGTAAGTATGTGTTACTAACACAATATGAAAATGTATATATTATAGTTCAGTTTGATATCATGTCAGTATATCATCAATCAACATGTTAATAACATATCATTATAACATGTTAATACATTGTTATAAACATGTCAGAAACATATATACAATAAATGTTATTAACTTAAATTAACTTAATGTTATTATATTCTAACTTTCTTATGTTAAAACTGTTATAAACATGTTGTTAATACAGTGTTATCATTGTATTAAGATTTTATAGTCATAAACTCTTATAACAAATTGTTATTTGTTATGTTAATAATACAAAATTACATTATTCATAAACACGGAGTAACAAGTTATTATCTGATAACTGAACTTCATTAACTTACAGGTTATTAACATTTTATTATTATCTCATAATAACATTTATATGATAACATGTCAGTAGTGTTATTAACATGTTTTATGGCTTTATGAGTCAACAGAAGATAAAAGTTTTACTTCAGTATTTTAATCAGAATATACTTTAAGAATCAAAAGTAAAACTAGCTGCTAATTATTATCTGTAACATTATTAGATTATTAATCAATATGCAGTGGAGATCATTTAAACCACCTTATACAGATCTGCAGCTCACTGTCTCACTCTCTGCCTGTCTCACTCTCTGTCTGTCTGTCTCTTTCTGTCTGTCTGTCAGGCCCTGAGGAAGGAGCCCTCTCCCCCTCCTCCTCTTCACACACAGAGGAGCAGGATGTGAAACCAGTAACCATGACAACCGCCTCCCTCAGCCAGCCGAGGGGAGGAGGAGATGGTACAGGAGGAGGAGAAGGAGGAGGAGAGAGGAGGAGGACCAGGAGAGAGGGAGAAACCAAACGAAGAACAGGAGGTGGAGGAGGAGGGTTAGGGCCTCCTGATCTGGACCTGGACATAGTGGAGGAGGAGGCAAGGAAGGAGGAGAGGAGGAAGGATGAGGTGGAGGAGAGGAGGAGAAAAAGTCAGACTGTCAGGCCGAAGGAGAAGCGGGGCAACCAGAGGGAGCAGGGGAGGAGGAGCAGGAGCTTACCCAGGACCGGTGCTCGATCCTGGGACACGTCTCTGTCGGTGGAGAGGGTGGAGGTGGAGGAGTCCGGAGGGAGAGCGGGGGAGAGGAGGAGGAGTGAGACGAAGGGTAGGAGGAGGGTGACAGAAGAGGAGAGAGACGACAGCACCACCAGCCATGCAAAGCATTCTGGGAGCCCAGCTACACATCAGAGGGCATTGTTCTCCTTCCTCATGCCGATGGACGCCGCCGCCGCCGCCGACCGCCGGCGTCTGTCTGACAGCGAATCAGCAGCCAGCTACTCCGAGGTAAGCCTATCAGCAGCCAGCATCGCCACAGCAGGGTGGAGGGAGGACTCTGATTGGAGGAGAGCCGAGTTGCCGTGGCAACAGGAGAACGTGCCGGGGCCCTGGCTGAAGCCGAGCCCGCAGAAACTGACGCAGGTTCTGATTGGCAGTCGGCTCGGTGGGCGGAGACGAGCGGGCGGGCTCTCTCTTTGATTGGCTCACAGCAAAACATTCTCTTTTTTTTACTGGCTACCTATAAGGGCTTTTTTTGATTGGCCTGCCTTAGAGAAGGCCCCCCCTCTTCCTGCTTCTTATTGGATGACAGCAGACAGCTCTGTTTCTGATTGGAGGATGAGAAGCAAGCAGACAAGGACTTTTTTTTGATTGGCTGGTGGGCGGGTTTTGAGGCCTCTGATTGGTCAATGACACAACAGCTGCACACAGAGCCGCCTGATTAACTCGTTTATTTTTATTTTACCCATCATCCCTCAGTGCATCCTGAGACCTGAATCACAAAAAGACCACATCAGTGTGATCCTCTCGACTCAGACTGTCTGGTATCATGACGCTGGTGTTAGCCGGGGTAGATCGCCATGGTAACTGTGATAGATCGCCATGGTAACCGATGCTAACTTTCAGGTCAACAGCCCGACTACTGACCAATCAGATTCATCCTACAGGATCCTGACAGGGACAAAAGTAATAAAGAGCAATAGATGTTTTATAGGTCAGTGAGATCTCTCTCATACGGAAGAAGATTAGTGCCACATTAAAAATATTTCTGAGAAAAAAAACACATCAATGGTTTTTTGGAATTGGAAGAGCATTAGGGCCAAAACCGTTTTTTTAAGATTTAAAATAAACCAATAAATATTTTTTTAAAAATGGTTTTGGCCCTAATGCTCTTCCATACTTTCATGATAATTGTATCAGATAAAACAACCACACTGAGTTTAAAACAAGATTATACATTATAGTTTCACAGACTAATAAATGATTATAGCTTCATATTATTTGAATTATTTCATTAAATTTCTTTTATGAAGATGATTAATAATAATAATCACTGTCACATTTTATTAAAACGATTAAATAAATACAGAGATTATTAATGGGTGTGATGTAATAATATGAGTTTAAAAAGGGCCCTGTACACTATATTTATAGCCTATAAACACATCAATGGTCCCAGAACCTTTACAAAACAAACACAGGTTTCATTTCTAATCTCTCTTTGATCCATTTTCAGCTTTAAGTTAGCGCCCGCCCTCTCTCCTTATGCCTAAACCAACCAACACGAGCCAATCAGAGGCAGAGATGGGCGGGTCTTGGCAGAATGCGTTACCCAGGTGTGTACCTAGACTCACCAGGAGGTGGCAGCAGTACGCAATGTGAAGGGAGGGTACTGCGGCCCCTGTCAGGCTCTGACTGTAGGTTAAATAATAATTACAGAGCTGGGGGAGATGGGTAATATTCTGAATGTAACACCTTGTAACATTTGTGTAAATGTTAATAACTATTAAATATAAACAACCCTGTAAATCCAACTGTGACTCCCAGTCCCAAAAACATTATTATTCTTCTAGCAAATGTTTGACTTTCATTTAAGAATATGAACCTAGATTTTTGTTTTTTACCCACAGAGCTGAGCTTCCAGTGTACGGAGAGTCGGAGAGTCCAAAACAGATCCCTTTTGGGATGACTCCCGCAAGGAAACAGTATAAACTGCGTTACACACAGTTAGCATCCAGCTGTTAATACACTGTGGACACATTGTAGCAACAAAGCTAAGTTAACGAGACTGCTTCATTTTTTCTCTTTAATAACTTTTTCACAACGAAGAACAAAACGTGACGTAAACAGAGAAGCTAGCGAGTTAGCAGTTAGCTCGCCAGCTAGCCCTGTGAGTCGTTACCAAACTCAGAACCAAATATTTGTATTTGTTGTTACAGATTATTGATACGTGATTGGCTGTTTGGAACCAGCTTCATGGTACCAGTAATCAGGATCACTGATGTGGGACTGATGCAGGTCATCTTCATCTTCATCTTCATCTTTCTAACTTTAAACTCGTATGCAAACAACAGGAGAACCTTCGTCGCCTCCGAGACGCGTCCTGGCGTCTGTGATTCTGTACTCTGAGCATGTGAATATCACTGGAATGATTTTTTATTTTTATAACCTGTAAAGGCTCAATGACATTATTGTTCTTATTGTTATTGTTATTATTATTATTAGAGAGTAAATAGAGATGATCTGATTTGCCTGCTTGCTTGTAAAAAAGAGGAAAAAAACCCTTTGCCCTGATGATGTAACAGCCATACACACACACACACACACACACACACACACATTCAGGTCCAGCTGTGGTCCTGTTGACTGTCAATAACATCGCCACGGCAACCCGGCCGGCCTGTTCCTATAGCAACAGCCACGGCGGAGCAGAACTCTGCGGCCGACGCGGCCGACGACCCGCAGCTCTGGATCATAACAAGTGCCTCGTTTGATTTCAGCCTTCGTCCTGCAAACTGACGCCGAGGCTGCCGGCGGACCCCGCCACTACACAACCGACCCGCCACTTCCTGTCACACCTCATCAAACAGCGCCAAGTCCTTCCGTACACCGCCGCGTCCCGTTAACATTTCCCACAGCCCGAAGTCCAACAGCTGGTTTTATTCTGAAATCCAAAGAGATTCAGTAAATACATTGATCGGATTTCCACAGCTGAGACGCTGGTTGTAACTAATAACTACAATTATTTCTCAGTTATCAAAAGAGTTACAAATTAATTGATCAGCTAATTGATTAATTGTTGGTCAGTTGCTGTTTTTGACATTTTTTACATCTGCAGCATTTTCTGCTGGAGCTGATTCTAAAGATCAATATCAGACCGATCAGACATTACTGAAACTAATTAATGTTAATTAACCCTTCCTAAGACCCTCGGTCAACTTCCTCTTCTCCTGTACTTAGATAGATATGCTATGTGCTAAGCTAATCTATGTTGTTTTAATGGATCAAAGATAAATACAGTCATATCTTAAGTTAGCTAAAGTTAGCAGAACTCTAGCTAACGAACAATTGATGTAAATTAGCCACTTTTTTGCAAACATTAGTTTTCAGATGTTACAAGTTAGCTCTGATTAATGTATGCAAGTTAGCTAGTTAGCTAGAGTTTTGCTAACTTTAGCTAACTTAAGATATGACTGTATTTATCTTTGAACCATTAAAACAACATAGATTAGCTTAGCACATAGCATATAGCATATCTAAGTACAGGAAAGGAGGAAGTTGGTTAACCAAAGATTGTTTATGAGATAAAAGAAGCTTCACTCTGTAACGCTGCTGTTAAATCAGAGTGAGACATGTCTCACCTATCTCCACATCCTTCTTTTTTAACCTCATTTTCCTGTCTGTCTGTCTGTCTGTCTGTCTGCACTCACACTACAACTCCCACACACCCTTGCGCTACCCTTTAGCCCCGCCCCCTCAGCCAGCTCTTTCTGTGGGCATTTGGATCTTTGTCTTCTATGCATTTTCTTAGACTGGTTGCCGGTGATTGATTTCTCTGATCGGTTCTGATCAGCAGCCGATTGGAGGCTCACTGGAGCCTGGACTCTGATTCTAATGACGGGTCTGAATATTCAGGTTCTGGTCCAAAGACGACTGAGGTCTGAACAGGATCCAACGGTTTCTCATCAGATGTGCTCCCAGACAGCAGGAGGAGTTTGAAGGAGGAGTTTGAAGGAGGAGTTTGAAGGAGGAGCACATCGAACTGACTGTTGGTTTAATAAAGAAGAGTTGAATGCCCCTGAGCTAACTGTTAGCTCGCTAACTCGCCGGCAGTGTCATTTAACAAACAAACGTTAAAAACAAACATTTATTCACTTTTACAAGTGAAATCGTTTCATTTCTGTGTGTTACCAGCTGGACAGGGTTAGCTTAGCTTAGCATAAAGACTGGAAACAGGTTGCCTGGCTCTGTCCAAAGTTTAAAAATACCCCTACCAACACCTAAAGCTAAACTGAGAAACATTAGCTCAAAGCAGGCTTTCTTGCGCTAGTTGTTTACCCCTACTTATGCTAAGCTAGGCTAACCATGTCCTGAATCCAGTTCTTTACACAGACATGAGACTCTGAAAGAAAGAAGATGAAACTATTTCCCAAAGTTTGGAACTATTCGACCTTACAACTGACCCGTCATAAGGCCCGCCCCTTTTTGCTCTGAGATCCAATCACAGTTGATGCTACATGCTAGGCTAATCTATGTTGGAAAGACTTTTATTGGTTCAAATATCAAAGAGACAAATATATCACACACACACACACACACACACACAGAGACACACACACACACACACACACACACACACAGAGACACACACAGACACAGACACACACACACACACACACACACACACACACACAGAGACACACACACACACACACACACACACACACACACACACACACACACACACACACACACACACACACACACAGACACACACACAGACACACACACACACACACACACACACACACACACACACACACACACACACACACACACAGACAACATGAAAAAAGGTTTTTTTAAAATGTTTGCAAATTTATTAGAAATAAAGAATGAAAATATAATATGTCCATAAGTATTCACAGCCTCTGCTCAATACTTTGTTGTGGCACCTTTGGCAGCATTTACAGCCTCAAGTCTTTTGGAATATGAAGCCACAAGCTTGGATCAACTATCTTTGGCTAGTTTGGCCCATTCCTCTTTACAGAACCTCTCGAGCTCCATCAGGTTGGATGGGGAGCGTCGGTGCACAGCCACTTTCAGATCCCTCCAGAGATGTTCAATGGGGTTCCAGGTTCTCCTCCAGGATGTCTCTGTACATTGCTGCATTCATCTTTCCCTCGATCATGACCATCTCCCAGTTCCTGCCGCTGGAAAACATCCCCACAGCATGATGCTGCCTCCACCATGCTTCACTGTAGGGATGGTATTGGCCAGGTGATGAGCGGTGCCTGGTGTCCTCCAAACATAACGCTTGGCATTCACACCAAAGAGTTCGATCTTTGTCTCATCAGACCAGAGAATTTAGTTTCTCATGGTCTGAGAGTCTTTCAGGTGCCTTTTACTAAGGAGTGTTTTCCATCTGGCCGCTCTACCGTACAGGCCTGATTGGTGGAGTTCTGCAGCGATGGTCGTCCTTCTGGAAGGTTCTCCTCTCTCCACAGAGGAACCCTGGAGCTCTGTCAGGGTGACCATGGGGTTATTGGTCACCTCCCTAACTAAAGCCCTTCTCCCCGATCACTCAGTTAGAGGGACGGCCAGCTCTAGGAAGAGTCCTGGTGGTTCCAAACTTCTTCTATTTCTCATTGGGACCTTTAAAGCAGCAGAAATGTTTCTGTACCCGTCCCCAGATCTGTGCCTCGAGACAATCCTGTCCCGGAGGTCTACAGACGATTCCTTCGACTTCATGCTTGGGTTTTTTTTTTCTTTTAAGTAATTTTTTGGGCCTTTTATTGGCTTTATTTGACGGTGACGGCTGGTAGAGAGAGAGGGGATGACACCCAGCAAAGGGCTGGGTCAGATTCGAACCCGGCCCGCTGCAGCTGCTCTGTATTTGGGCGCCGCTCTACCAACTGGCCACCGGGCCTGTTAACACTGTTACTGTGGGCTTTATGAGGTGTGTGTTTACCACAGGTGGACTCGGATTAATCTGCAGGACATCTGGGGGGGGAGTGGAAACAATGACCCTGAGCTCATTATGGGATATTGTGTAAGGCTGTAACACAACAAAATGTGGAAAAAGTGAAGCGCTGTGAATACTTTCCGTATGCACTGTAAATAAAGTCCCATCTTAAGTTAATGTTAGCTTAATGTTAGCTAAACACAAGCTAACTAATCTACATCAAATGTTAGCTAGCTAGTTAGCCAGTGTTTTGTTCTGTAGCTAAACGCTTGTTTAGTAGCTAATGAGCTAACAAGTTAACCAGTAGTTTATTCTTTATGCTACGTCACTAGCTCATTAGCTCGATAGCTTGTTTGTATTAACACAGATTAGCCTAGCACGTAGCATCTACGTATTGGAAAGCAGGAAGTTGACGGAGGTTCCAAAAGGGGTGGAGCTTAATACGGGTCAATTAAAGAACTCACTGATTAAACTGAAGCCACATTATTACGTTTTTAATTAATAAATGATACCAAACTATTCTCAACAACAGGAAGTTATGCTAGGATACTCAGGTCACAATGAAATTAAATCCAATTAACTGTAAATAATTCAAAGGGAAAACCTTCAATGGTAAATATAGATATAAATATAGAAATAGAGTTATTGATCTCTCCTCGGCTACAGATGTCAAAATAAAAGCAGGAACGTTTCTTTTCTTCTCCAGACTGAAGCCAGTTTATATATTAATGAATCCATTTTTACATCGTTCTTCAGCTTTATTTAACTGTTTAACTTATAAACTGGGATTTTATGTCAATTCAAGATAAAAACATTATCACAAATCTGACTATTGATATAAATTAAAATCTGGATTCTGGTTATTAAATTATTGGTCGTAGTTTAAATGTCCAAATTAAATTCCAGCTTTTATTATCAAATAGGACTCTATGAAAAAACACTTTTGTTCAGTTTTAAAATTACATTTTAATTTGTTGTAGTTTCACTTAAAAGGACGAAAACTCATTTTCTGATATTTCACATGTGAAATCATGAAAAAATCAGGTTTCATATTTGATGAACTTACAGTATAAACAGGTAATTTGAACAGTTACGTAAATAAAATATATTTTAGTTTGACGCAGAAAATTCAGATTTAACTGAATTGTTTTTTTCTTTGTCAGAAATCAAACAATAAAATTCATCAACAGCAGAAGTTATGATATTAATAATTTTGAGATTTTAAGTTTTATAAATATTGTTTATGATATTTAGGGAGGTACAGTCTGCAGTATTGCGCCCCTGGTGGTCAAACTATGAACTGAATTAAATGAATCTCCCCAAAGTCAAGATTTAAACTTAAAAATCTAATTTTTGTTGTAATATTGAAACATTTCTATCAACATTTGAACTTCAGTTTAAAAGTGACACATTCATTAAAAGGCTTCAGCGTGGCGCCCTCCGGAGGCCACGCTGAGAACAAACAGACGTTTATACGAACACAAAGGGGTTTGTTATGGAGGGTTCGGTTGCCGTGACAACGCTCCTGGAGACGAGCAGATACAGCTATTGTGTAGCTCCTGTCGCCTGTCGGTGACATCACGGATCAGCTGATCTGTAAACCTGATGATGTCACACGTGTACAGCTTTGTAAACAGTTTCTGATGTTTGCTTCGTGGACGCCGACGACAGGAAGTTACAAAGTGATAAATGACACACACGATTACACTGAGATGATCCATGAATTCAGAGTTATTATCAGATATCAATAAATGATTTTATTCAACTCTCTGTTTGTGATTTTATGGACTGTTGGTATTTTTAGATGTTTGTTTCATTTCCCCTCGAGACAGAAGCAAGTTTAAATTTCAAAATAAAACCAGGAATGTTTCTTTACTTCTTAGAAACTAAACTGACTCATTTCAAACCTCAGAGGTTAGAGGAGAGTAGGGTCACTTCATCCTCCTCCTCCTCCTCCTCCTCCAGCGGGCAGGGCAGACAGGTGAGGCAGGGCGGGGCGACCAGCAGGTGGCAGGAAGGCAGTCGAACCTCCAGTCGACAGGTCGGGGATCGAACTCTTTGTTAGCATTTTGGCTGAATGTTGACATTTATGATTTCACACCCTATTCCCTACCAGCTACTCCCTAATGACCACCCACAATCACCATGGCAACCACCTGGTACCCTAGCAACAACAACAAATATCCTGTCAACACCCTGAACCCCAAAGTGAGGGAGTAACTTCACAACTGATCATGCTAAAATATGTGTGTGTGTGTGTGTGTGTGTGTGTGTGTGTGTGTGTGTGTGTGTGTGTGTGTGTGTGTGTGTGTGTGTGTGTGTGTGTGTGTGTGTGTGTGTGTGTGTGAGTGTGTGTGTGTGTGTGTGTGTGTGTGAGTGTGTGTGTGTGTGTGTGTGTGTGTGTGTGTGTGTGTGTGTGTGTGTGTGTGTGTGTGTGTGTGTGTGTGTGTGTGTGTGTGTGTGTGTGTGTGTGTGTGTGTGTGTGTGTGTGTGTGTGTGTGTGTGTGTGTGTGTGTGTGTGTGTGTGTGTGTGTGTGTGTGTGTGTGTGTGTGTGTGTGTGTGTGTGTGTGTGTGTGTCTGTGTGTGTGTTACTGTGTGTGTGTGTGTGTGTGAGTGTGAGTGTGTGTGTGTGTGTGTGTGTTATTTATTTGTATAGCGCCAATTCATAACAGAAGTTATCTCAGGACACTTTTCAAATAGAGCAGGTCTAGACCGAACTCTTTATAACATTAATTACAGAGACCCAACAGTACCACCATGAGCAAGCACTTGGAGACAAGGGCAAGGAAAAACTGCCTGTTAAAAGGCAGAAACCTAGGACAGATCCTCCGGCTCTAGGTGGGTGGTCGTCTGTCTCGACCAGTTGGGGTGAGAGAGAGAGAGAGAGAGAGAGAGAGAGAGGTAAGAAAAGGAAAAGTAGTGACAGATGAGAGATGAACAAAAGAAGATGATGACGAGACAGACAGAACATGGGGGACAATGAGCAGGTGACAACAGCAACAACAGTAACCATAGCTATAATATTACTTATATTACCAAAAATTATATTAAAAAAACAAAAAAAACAAATATTAGCAATGGCAATCTAGCAGGACCATGGCAGGAGACTCCACCAGGATCCATGAGAACCTGCGAGACGAGAAAGCACAAGAACTCCGGGGAAGAAGTGAAGTTAGTAACATGCATTAATGGGACATGAATGAGTGCAGAAAGAGAGAGGAAGAGAGGAGCTCAGTGCACCATGGGAAATCCCCCGATAGTCTAGGCCTATAGCAGCATAACTAAGGGATGGTTCAGGACTCACCTGATCCAGCCCTAACTATAAGCTTTATCAAAGAGGAATGTCTTAAGCCTACTCTTGAATGTGGTGAGGGTGTCTGCCTCCCGAACCACAACTGGAAGCTGGTTCCACAGGAGAGGAGCTTGGTAACTGAAGGCTCTGGCTCCTGTTCTACTTTTAGAGACTATAGGAACCACAAGTAGCCCAGCATTCAGAGAACATAGTGTTCTAGTGGGGTAATAGGGTACTATGAGCTCTTTAAGATATGAAGGGGCCTGACCATGAAGAGCTTTATAGGTGAGGAGGAGGATTTTAAATTCTATTCTACATTTTACAGGGAGCCAGTGCAGAGAAGCTAGTACAGGAGAGATGTGATCTCTTTTTCTAGTTCCTGTCAGTACTCGTGCTGCAGCGTTCTGAATTAATTGGAGCGTTTTAATGGACTTATTGGGGCAACCTGATAATAAAGAGTTGCAGTAATCCAGCCTTGAAGTAA